TAAGCTAGTGCAGGAGCTGTCACCATATGAATATTGGACACCAACTCGAATTTGGAATCGGTGGTATAATAGATATAAAAGATCAAAAAAAATATCTTCAAAATCATAAGTTATATAGAACATTATACATAAACAAAATTTTAAATAAATAACTTACCTTTAACATATTTTTATCAACTTGTAATATCGTTTTTGCTAAAAAAATTAAAAAAAAATTAAAAAAAATAAGTAATAAAACTGCAATTTATATATAATAAACCAGTTTTTCTTAATTTTCTTGACATTTTCATAATATACCCTTCTTTTGAAGGTGCATTTCATAACAAGTTCTCGCTAATGCGCATCTAATAAAGTATTTTTCATGCCAAGATCTTGCAAACTGAAAAAGAATCATGGGAAAAAGGACTAAATAATTGCACATCTTTAGAGGGATCTTGTATTATGAAATGAAGCTAGTTTTTCATGTTCTTTGTACTGTTTGGTTCGTTAAAGCCCTGACAACTTATTTATTTAAAGAAACGTTGCCGTTATTACTAAGACTTTGGGTAAAATCGTTAAAACCGTGATTTCGTCGATTTGTGTAATTTATGAAAATCATATGATAAAAATTTATGTGTGACATTGTGATCGACTGTTATTGTTATTCCTGAAATCGTATGATGCTATTCATCACATAGTTTGGGTAACATCGCTAGTCAGGATATAGCGAGTGTGAGATGTATGGAAATTGCGACATACGTAGTGATTAAATCATTACTACTCAGTTATCAGAATCTGATAAGTGCTCGAAACGAATATATGATGCAGTTAAACCTCTCCATAATCATTCCCTTTATAAGTATATAAATACTAATCAGACTGGAAATTTTTATCCGTTATAATGAAATTGAAATATCCACTATAACGTTATAAATTTTTAAAAAATTTTAAATGATTATCTCACTATAGCGCTATAACGCAGACTGTATTTAGAACCAATTACTATAAATATAAAACCTAAATATAAAACCTAAATAAGTGCAATCATTTATAAGCAGATTTTTTTAAGAATGTGTTGCGTTACCTGATCAAGAAATTTGATTTAGTATCTTTAACTGGAACAGAGATAAAGCGTCTTCCGCTGTGCTTCGGACTATTGTCATTATGTTACATTCATTGCGTGAATACTGTTTCATAATAAAAATTAGAACTTCATTTTTATTTGCAGTTTTTTGTGAAAGAATTGAGTCATCCAGTGTTCAGCATTAATCATCCTGAAAAAAAAAAGGCAATTTAACGGTATCGTTATATTTTCTGTACATTTTCGCACTATATAGTAAAATAATAGAGCTAAATAAATTTATAACGATAAATCACCATTTTCAATCAAATATAATTTAACTTTGATGGGAATTACGATTGTTGGAGGCTAATTACGTATGAAAAAACTTATACGTAAGATTTTTGTTTTTTTTCTATAAAAGTAAATTATAGAATCAAAACAAAGAAAGATTTCATCTTATTTTAACAAAAAAAAGTAGCTAAAAATGTTTACGCATATATGCAGATAATGGGTTAACTAAAGTTACTCAAGATAGCGGAAATTGCCGATTATTTTATATATATATATACTGTACGTACGTGCGTACCTAAACAAAGACTAACTTGATAACTATAAATAATTTTAATTGATCAAACACCAATTAGAACTCCGTGTCTCCAATTTTTCTTTTAGATTTTGAAATTAATTAATATATATTGATATATAACCATTATAATAATTTACCAATTTGTTAAATTTGTTAATTCAGATAATCATAATTTTATTCAAATGGATGCGACACAACAACGCGATGATTTAGGTTCGAACAGTGAAAGTAATAATTTAGAATCGAATTTTTTACAAGGATCTATTGGAAACGATGAAATTGACCACGAAAACTTAAGTAACCAACATTCTAGTTTGTTTGATAATGGTGAAAGCAAACCTAATTTTGGATTGGACAATGCTTTAAATTTAAATAAACAAAACTCTGACGAAAATAAAAATGAATTTGCTTGTGTATTCAATGTTATCGATAAAAATATCGATAAAGATGGGGTCAATAATGAATTAAATAATATTGAAAAAGGGAAGAATCCTGAATTTAGTGTCGATTACAATATAAATAGTAATGCTGATGGATCAAAACTTACACAAAACAATCAAACTCAAGGACCAGAGTATAGTAATAATACTGTTGGAGATGGATCAAACCAAACTCAAACTAGAAAATTTTTTAAAAAAGCTGCGTTATTCAAACAGTTTTTTTCTTGGCGTGATAATGAAGATTCTCCTGATGTTGTCAAAGTTGTATTTCATGTACATTTACCATTTGCTATAGAAAATAAAGGAGATCCAGTCGTAATAGGCAATATCAAAGAATTAGGAAAATGGAAAGAGCCAATTGTTCAACTTCAACTTCCATCTCGCCATCATAGCCCAACCTATTGGATGTCGGAACCAGTGTCAATACCAATTTCCGCTTTTGATGAAGGCATCAGGTATAGATATGCAGTTTATGTTTCTCGAAAACCGGACAAGAAAAATAAAGAAACGGGTGATTTATATCCCGAAGTCGGTAAAGAATTTCGCTTTTTAGAAAACAAAGGTGGTAATCAGTTTGATTTAGTGGAGGAAATAATGATTGATGGTAGAAAATATTTGAGAAAAGCTCGAGAGTTTGATTTTTTGGATTTTATCTTTCAATCACTGACCTCTGAAAATATCAAGCAAAAGATTTTAGAATATCAAGACATCTTGAACAAATTTCAGGCATTGACCATGTCTGTCGCTGATATTTCATTTATTGAAGATTGTCTTCAGGAAACAAAATCAAAAGAAAAACGTATTTTCCTATGTGTTCTTTTGGGATATTATGTTAAATATCGTCAAACATATTCACTTGCCAATTATTTTTCACTACGAAAGAGTTTCCCTTCAATACCATTCATTGAGTGTCTTGAAAAATATCAACCTAACAGTATACCCGAGGATGCACATGAAGCACTTTTAACAGCTATCTCTGCATTGGTTCGGCATAATGCCCTTTTTTGTGATTTATTTGATTGGCTTAAAATGTTTGCTGTTGCTCATGTGGTTGATCCAAATTATTCGTTTATAGAAGCTTTGATAGATCTAAGATATAACGATGAAGACATGCAAAAATTCATTAAACATTATATTCCTAAACAAGTGGTGCCATACATAAATAATATTGAAAATAATAAAACATATGCTAGAATAGCTGATGTAAGATTTATATTGAAATATTAATAATTTATAATAGATTATATATATATAACTTTTTTTTTTTTTTAATGACAGTGGTTGATTCGTATGTGTTTTAAGATTGATCAGCTCTTAAATATTTGGATGGATATTATTGAGCACACTCAAGAAAGAGATGAATTGCTTCGCAAACCTTTTCTCACTCGTGTTCAGGCAATTATCTCGGCCGGAGATGCAACAGATTTAGCAAAATGTCTTGACAAAGTGCCTGTTGAACTTCGAAATGAAGTTGCTGAGGCATTCCGTATACGAGCTATACAATTATTAGGTCATACATATCATGAATGGAATAAACAAAATTCCAATTCAATTCAAAATATTTTATTGAATTCTCAACTTAATTGGACTAAGGAAGATTTCCTTGAAACACTTCGTCGAGTTTCGTTATCATCAAAGGTAAATTTGTTGATGATATTTCCAAAACTTCTTCAATTTTGGTTTAAATTTGATGATGTAAAAGATGAAATGTCCGAAATAATTCTTGAAATATGTAATCAATGGTATCAACAATTTTTGGATCATTTTAATGACAATACATCATCAAAAACATCCTTTGATGATCGGAATTTCGCTTACGCTGTTTTCGATAATTTATCACATATCTATCCAATTATTGGAAATCATCACAATATTTTTATGCAATTGATTAATATTGCCATAGATCGTGTCAAACAGTGTTCAGAAAATCAAATTTTAAGAGCGACATCTCTTATTATTAAGACGGAACCCAATATTTACATGCATTATGGTGAAATGATCAAAGGCATATTAAATATTTCTATTAGAGAGGCAGACGACAATCTTTTAACAAAAATGCAATATATTTGTGGTTGTAATTCAAGGGTTCTTAACATACCTCATGAGTAAGCATTATTTGCATGGAATGACATATACAAATGTTTTATATGCTTTACAACATGTATACCAATTAATTAATTTAATAATTTTATTTGCATAGATTAAATGAGGAAATTATATGCTATATCATGGAGAGATTGCAAAAGAGTTACCCAATTTCGTATGAAAATATAGCCACCACTGCAATATCTTTACTTCGTTCTGCAAAGTTTTGGATATTACTTCTTCATGCAACCGGTCATGTTGAACAATTGAATAAACATCAATATGTAACTCAAGCTAAAGATCTGATACTCAAATTTTCTGATATGATTAAAAATGAATCTATTTCTATTCGATACTTGCAAGAACTTTTGCAATATGATAATGAAACATTATACCAATTTTTTGATTCTGCTACTACTAAAAGGGATTCTGTCATATTAAGTAAAGATAATATATACAACCTTCGTAAACAATGTGAAAGCTATGAACTAATATCAGACCAACTTCGAACTTTTTACACACAATTTTGTCCACATGGAAAAGTCAAAGATGTTCAACAATTTCTTGATGATATAAATTCTCGAGCAAAACGATTGCGAAATACTACACTCAAAGAGTCACAAGCACCTGATCATTGGGAATACCACAAAAAAACCAGAGTTGCTGCGGAACGTGTACACAAAACATCAAAATCTCAAACGTTCCGTAACATTTTTGAGAATATCATACAAGTCAAAGAAGATTTAACAGTAGAAGCAGTTGCACAGACATTAATTCCACAAGTGTTCGAGGAATATAAGAAGTTATGTCTTGAATACTTAAAATGGGAGGAACTTGTATGTTCTAAGGGCAGCATTCTGTGGAAGAATGTTTCAAGTGTAAATCATGAACTTGATATTATGGATAACTATATAAAAATGGAACGAAATCAAAAATTACTTGATACACTCACTCATCTTTCTCAATTTCCGAAGCAAATTGAAAGACTTAAACAGTTAGCAGCAGTTGTAACAATTTTCAAAGTTACTCATACGAAAGACGATTGGCTTGACAAATTGATTAAATTCTTTAACGGAGATTACCTGTGGCTAGGAAAATTGAATGATTTTTTTGACAAATATTTTAATCATTTTCTTTCGGCAGTCGATGAAAATTGTTGGGAATTGATTAAAGAATTATCAAATGCCAGCGACTTTATAATATTTCTTCGATCAGTGGCAGAACATGATATTAAAAATTTGATTAATGGCGTAGATGAACATTCGGATGAACGTCTTATTCAAGAAGACACTGTATCATCACTTATCCAAGTCAAGCAATTTTTGCTCCCATTACTTAATGCTAATTCCTTATCTCTTAAGCAATTTTTACATGAATTACGAAGTATTACTGATGCCAATCCCTCTTTAGGTAGTAAAATAGCATTATGTAATAGCAGCAATATGGCATTACAAAATATGTATAATAATATTTCGAATCGTGGTGAAGTGACCAAGGAAAAAATCCGCAATGCAGTAAAGAAAGGAACATACACATTCAAACGAGTAAGTAAAGATGATAAATGTTCTGTGATGCTAACCTATCCATCTAGCACAGAGTCCAAACCATACAGCTTGAATGATTTGCATGATTTACGTGGACGAGCTCTTTTAATCTCTAAACCTGGAGCTGCAGTGGATTTAACTGCGATTCACGGTGAAGATGCTCTAGCAAAAAATGTGATGGATGAATTTGTAGTACAGGTTGATTTAGCAAATGAGATTATAAACATTGCATCAAAATTAATTCAAATGGGACATTTTGGATATCGTGAATTTAGTAGAGCTGCAAAGGGAACTGAACCCTTACAAAAGTTGGAACATGAATTGAAAGTGGACCTGAAACAATGGTAATGTTTTCTAACGTAAAATTTACTGTATTCTGCCACGCATTAACCTCCAGAAGAATGAGTACCACCCTAGTACTACCCCTAGTTTAATCGCTTTACCTTGTGCTCAAAAAACATAATATTTATTGTCAAGTTAAAGGCAAAGAATTGTTTAAGCGAGCATTATTACCTTTTTTTTAATAGACTAAAAAAATGTTGTTAAAAGAGGTCTTATTTGTGGCAGGATACAGTATATTTTTAATCAGTGTGAGAAATTAAATGTTCCGAAAACATAAAAAATTCTATAAGATCTAAATTTGAATCTCACACTGGCTGTAATGATTAATATTAACCAAATTTAATGTACAAATTTCCTATATATATATCTATTATACCACCGATTCCAAATTCGAGTTGGTGTCCAATATTCATATGGTGACAGCTCCTGCACTAGCTTA